TTAAAAAGAAAATATGTTCAGTATAAAAGATTTGATCTGAAAAAAGGATAAGAATTAATTAATAAAAAGAAGTATGTGTTCAATTATATATTCTGTTAAAAAAATGCTTAGTTGACGAGGGATTAAGTAGGTGAAAGTAAAGTGAGAAAAATACTACAAGTTTAATATAATAAACAAATTCCCTGATTTCAAAATTGCATTGAGGTTGCTGTAATACACAACGCATTTTATGAGTTATGGTTGAAATGTGTTTTAAAACCGTATTATTGCAATTTAGAAGTATGATATTGTAAGAAATTAATGATTGCTATTAAAATTTTACAAGATTTTAGAAATATTTCCTTAGTATGTATTTAATAATCCCAATATTAAATTTTATTTAATAACTTTTGTGTAAAATTTAATCCCAACCACAGCTTTTGAGATAAATATGTATATGCATTAGAGATAGAAACATATTTATTTTACGCAACAATTTCAATCTAAAATTTTAATACCAGTATATATATGCAGCTTTAAAATAAATAAAATTTAGTTTTTAATTTTAAATCAAATGTCATATCAAAATCCAGTTAAGAATCATATTAAAAGTATTTATGTAAAATTATTTTTTTTTAATGATTCAAAATGCATGAAAATTTCCAGTATATTTTTCATATCAGTTTGTTCAAACAAATAAATGATTTTTAAAAGTTTACTTAGTATCCAAAAAAAATTTGTTCTTAGTATCCAATGAAAATTTGTTCACTTGCACCAGTTTTTTTTTAAATTCGTTATTTAAATACTTAACAATTTCTACGGTTAATTTAGAGGCTCTATATTAGTATTTAGCTATTACTAATTAGATTAATATAGATAATTTTTACCCTTCAATTACATAATTTTTTGAGGAAAACGAAAATCTTTTAACATATTAAATTTTTTTATACTATGTTCTCTTAAATAAATGAATAAATAATAATTTTTTTTGTTATTTTATTAATAACTGCGAAGATTTTTCCAATTATATTCAAGTTCAAATGCCGAATATTTGAATTTTTTAATTATGCTTCGATACGAAGCACGTTTTTCTTTTTCTCATTTATTCAGAGTTTTCCAAAGTTATTATCGTACCTTATTTGCAATAATTCATAGTGGGTTTTGTCTCTGAAAGTTGTAAATATCAAAATGTTGTAAATTTAAATAATAAAAATTATATAAGATTTCTCATTTTAATTTAAAAATTTAATATGCATAACAATAAGAAAATTATTATTATTATTATTCTTAATGTTATTATTTTGTTACATACATTATGATCGAAGATAAATTAGTTAATCGAAGCATTTTACTTTTTTTTGTTTAAAAATTTATTTCTATTTTTAATTATATTTATGATTTGACAATAAGCGAGCAATGTCGATTTCTTTTTAAAAGCATAAACACTGATACAATGATAATATGCGTTATTTATATCACCATACAAAAATTGGATTTCTCTGCAACAACTAAAATATTAGCGCAGTACAATACATTTGTAAATTTTTCAATAAATTCTAAATATTGTCTATTATGTTCTATTATTTTTTATTTATCACTGGTTTCTATATAGGTGATTTAATAGAAATCTGCAGATTATAATATGTAAAAGAAAGAAATGTTGAAATAATAAGAATTAAGATTACAATCGGAAAAATTAATATTTAAGTTGATATAAACGTTTAAATCCAAGTTTAATATCAAATTAATTAATTCAGCAATTAAAATTAGATTCCTGTATAAGTCAATCTGACGTTAGATGTGCCTTTTGATTGTCTTTAAATTTTTTTTCATTAATTAACACAGTTCAATCACAAACATCTATCATAATATGTATATTCAAATTCACATTAATAAAAGTTTAATCTTTATTTGAATTTATGCTTTTAATTTAAAATTTACCTATTATAATATGTTTAAACCAAACATGATACGATCGAATTTTTAATATTATAACAAATCCGTAATTTCATTTACTGTAAAAAAATGTCTAAGAACAATCATATCCTAATATCCTAATTATAATATAGTAATTTTCAAGAATAAAATAATACGGTATATGATATGAAGTTAATCATATTCAATAATAATGAATGCATTGAACAATTGGAAAAATAATTCAATTTAGCAGATTCGCTTCTTCCTTAATGCAAATACATTAAATATTGAATAAAAATCCAAAATAATATACAACATACAAAGTAAAAGAAAACAAAAATATAAAACAAAAATTTTAAAATGAAAAAAGAAACGTATGAATAGAAGAAATGGAAAAATTTTATTATTCAACTAGATTGTAGTTCAACAACTTAAGCTTTATTTTGATCTAACTCAAATCTTAGATTTTAAAATAAAATTTTTATTCCTTATATGATTCTTTTGAGGATATTGCATATTTAATATGAAATTCGTATAATTATAGTGTTTGTTTGTGTTAATTTATAAAAAAATTGTCAAAAAAGTCAAAATGAATTGTTTACCAACAATTTCATTTCTTAGCAATACCACGCACATTTAAACGCTTCATTTAAATTTTCATTTATGATCGACGCCAATATTCAAAAATTAAAAAAAAATATCATAGCATAGTGTGAAGTAAAATAATTAATTTACAACATTTAGAGATTTAACAGAACAATAAATTAAAAATATATGCATATATCTGTATAAAATATACATAATGCAAGCATTTACCTAGCATATACCACCATATTTTTAACAAAAAACTTAAAATATCTCCTTTAAGTTTTAAATGAAATTTATTGAATAAAATGCAAACCGGTTTATTTAAGGGAACAAAAAAGCATAATTCTTAAGCAAATATGATTTTATAGTTTGTTAAACTTTTTTTAAATTAAAATATTGTAAAACACCATAGACTCCTTATTTTCAACAATAATGTTAATGTAATAAATGCAATTTATATATAGTTAAAAGCGTAAAATACATTGATTTAGAATATACATATATTCTATATGTTAAAATAAAATATAGCATACAGTATATTTAAGATAAAATATAGCATATATATTCAAGAAACAGAAAAAATTGTATGCATAATTTATATTTATTACAATTTAGTAAGACTTAAATTGATTACAGATATTCGTACATACTCATATTTTATATAAAGATATTATTTAAAAACTTATTTGAAAACTCTAAATGAAATAAATTGATAATGGTATCTTATCTAAAATTAATAGTATGTTACGTAAAAAGGGTGTAAAACTCAATAAACAATTTTGGTAAGTTGTAACATATTTTATATTCACTTTGAAAATAGAAACACATAATCATGTCCTTTACAAATTTAGTTTTAATCGTTAATAAATGAACAAGATACCATTTTGATATTATAAATTATCATTTAAAACGAAAATATTGTAAGGAGAGATTATATATAAAATTATTTTATTATAAAACATAATATAATTTATTAAAAATATATATTAAAAATAAATTTTAAATAAGTATGTTATATTTAAGTTATTATCAAAGGACGTATAGAGAAAACAAAATCTTTAGAAATTAATTTGAAAAAAAATATATATATATAAAAACATATAAAATGCGTTTGAAAACCCTTTTAACAAAATATCGAATGTAAAATGGAAAGTTTTCTGTATATAAGAAAGTTAAAGTTAGTCTTAGACATAAATAATTTTACTAATGAAATTTTGAACTTGATTAAACAATTTTTTAATTTATGGTATGCAAGAAATTCGTTATCATTTAAAATAAGATTATAAATTTTAAATTCACAATTTAAAACATTAAAAAGAAAAACTTTCCATTATGAATTACTATGCATCATTATTTTAAAAATAACATTTACGCATGAATATTAAATTTTTAGGTAAATAATTATACATACGTTTAGATAACATTTATTAATTTAATATTAAAAATAAAAAACAAAATAAACTATAATGCATAATTTTGAAACTTAATTACATAAATTTACGTACAAATATATTCATTCAAATTTAATATACATATATAGTAATAATTCTACAAACTCTTATATTTAAAAAAAATATACATATTTTTGTTTTATAATTTAGATTTTAAGATACATTTTACTTTTGATTAGATTTATTTACTTAATAAATAAACGACGTAGATGAAAATATACAAAATATTAAAACTCAAAATACAAAAACGTTAAAAACAAATAAAAAACGAATAAACATTACAAAAAAAATAAAAAACCCTTTTTCCGAACATAAAGAAAATAGAAGTTCAACAAAAACTGGTTATTTTTTAATAACAGAAGATAAAAGCTTAATTAATTTTATAAGTTTGTAAAACATAAAACTACAAACTGCTTTTTGATTAAAAAAACAACGAAAACCCAAAAAATTAAAAAAAGTTTTTAAAAGGAAAGTAAACTATTTTTTTTGCATAGAGGGATTGGTTTAATGATAGGAATTATCAAAATTAATTTTGAATACTATAAGTCTATGAAGTATATATATTTTTTTTGTGCGGTTTATTATAAATTTCAATAGAATATTAAATTTATAAAAAGCGTATTATTTTAAGTAAATTTATTACTTATTATTAAAGCATATTATTTTAATAAATTTAGTTAGATTTAATAAATTTTGGAATGAATTTTTGTGAAACAATAAGTGGAAACTGAAATAACTTTTCTTTCTTAAACTTAATTTTTTAATTATTTAAAAACACAGTGGTGATTTTCAAAATTTTTAAAGTAAATAATATTTGAGATGTAGTAGGCTACAAGATAAATTCACTCCATGATCGTTTTCAAATATCTTTTATTTAAAATAATTTGTTTTATTTAGAATTTCTTAATTTATACAAATATATATACATTTGATTTGACTTTTGCATTCAAAAAAATTTTGTTTTGGATATTTTATAACGGAAATATATATTTTCAAAATATTTAAAATTTTTAATTAAAAATATATTCCCATTTGAAAAGAGATTTTGTTTGAATTTGTACTTACGAAGATCTAGATTCTCTCATAACATGACCTGGATCATCACGTTTAATTTCCATTTCTCTAACAGCCTCTGTTAGTGGCTTATAAATAGATAAATGAATACTAAAATGAAAATTTTAATTTTTATTACTAAATGAACTTTTAATTACATTAAAATGGATTATTACATTAGATACTATTAAAAGAAATCGATTTTTCGAGCATCTTGGTTTTATAAATAATTTTTGAAGATATAATCATTGATTTTAAAATCATACTTACAATTTAACTGAAACATCTACTAAAAGTGAAGCTAATGGAATTAAAAATAACCCCAACCAAAATACAGGTGATGATAAGAGAATTTTATCCATTCCACAAAATACAGCAGCAAATGGAAAATGAGGCCATAAATGGCTGTATACAAGAATGAATAAGAACCATAATAATATTGATCCCCATATTGAAACATGAGTTAACCACGTCCATGACTTCATAATGAGACCGGCTTTCAAACAAACTGTGATCACCACAAACTAAAATTTATGAAACAAAAAAAAACCAATTAGTTAGGACAATGCTTAAAGGAAAATAAATAACTAAATTTATGCCTTTATCTCTACTCACTGTATAAACTGTATTTCCTAAAACTAAATAGCCACCAGTTTTTCCATTACCCCATATCGATTCTGATTGATAAGCCAACAGTGGTAACCAAAATAATAATATCGAATGTAATAATGCATTACCAATCCATATCCAAAAAACTTTGACATTAAATAAAGTTGCACTTTGTGACGTTTTATATAATGCGGGATATTTTATCATAGTTTCCGCTGAACATACTTTATCAAAAAGACCCATGGAAAAAGGTGGTAATGCTGTGAAAAACACATTGTAAAAACCAATAGTCCATCTTTCAAATAGAATTTGTCCAGACCTAAATAATTAAAAAAGGTTTTGATAAATGACTTAAAATATATCGAAATATTGAAAATTTACTTACCATCCAGAATAGATGGCGAACCATAACTCAATTACGTATAAACAAACATTTTTATAAAAACTATATAAAATTAATTTTGTTATTCGGCTATAATTCCATGCTCCATGTACTAGTAGTAAACGTAACAAATATTTAAATTGTGCTATTGAATAATCAGATGCACATGCCGCTTGCAAACCTTCTACTCCTGAAATTCCTACGCCTACATGTGCTTTTTGTATCATTGCTACATCATTAGCACCGTCGCCAATTGCCAATGTTACGCTTTTAGTATTCGTTGAAACTAAGTCTACAACCTATTTGTTAAAGAAAAGTTCTCCATAAGTTATTAAAAATATTTTGCGAAAATTTTGTTTTCGTACCTCCGCTTTTTGAATCGGGGAAACTCTACAGCATATAACGACTCGACATGCTATACACAATTCCAAAAAATCTAATCTCAAATCACAGCTTAGAGCATATTTTAATGTCTTTCCATCTATAATTAATGCAACATTACATTCTTTTATACCTTGTTCTCTAAGTTCACCACAATGTTTATGAATAATTTCTCTAGTACTCTAAAAGTCAAAAACAAAAATATAAACTTAATATTGCTTACTTATGAACATTATTGCTTTTCATAAAGTTTATTACTTACATCTAAACTGTCTTCATTCAATATTATTAAGTCCATTGAACTAGTTATAAGTTTACAAGAATGCCCAATATTGATTGCAGTTTCTTGTTTATCTCCCGTTAGTAACCATATATTTATATCAGCCTTTAATAATGTGGCAATTGTTTCTGGAACACCATCTTGTAATTTATCTTCTATAGCAGTTGCACCTAACAACATTAGATTATTTTCTATTAAATTTGCAGCATCTTCTAATTTTCTTTCACGGTAGTTCACTGCAGTTGCTGCTTTATGATAAGTTTCTTTCCATTCAGCATAAACATCTTCAGGTATTACAGCTACAGCACAACATAATGTACGTAAACCTTCACAAGCAAATTCTTCTAAATGTCTTAAAGTAACTTCTCGATAAGCTTGACCTTGTGGTGATAAACGTTCAAATATAACAGTATCAGCTCCTTTACAAAATAATTTTATTTCACCTTCTGGTGTTCGAACTATAACTGACATTCGTTTTCTAGTGGATGTAAATTCAATAACATTTAAGATTTCAAATCGCAGGAGTTCACCTAAAGCGAAAATTTCAACGTATGTAGGAGTTCGATTATCAAAAATATAACCAAAATATTTGGCACCATCAACTAAAGCTCTTTCATCTGGGCTAGCCGCATGATAAGTAATTGAACCATCATCATTCTTTTCCGGTATTACAGTATGACAAACTGCTAATAAATTCATAAATTCCTTGATTATCGGTGCTGTTTGATGCTTATTACGAATATTTTGAACTAAAAGTGATTGTTCGGGATCGCTTTCAACTAAATATACATTTCTAGCAATTGAACATTTTTTAAATTCCATAACGTTTCTTGTTAAAGTGCCGGTTTTATCGGAAAATATATATTTTACTTGTCCAAGTTCTTCATTTAAATTTGATGTTCTTGCCATTGCTGGAGTATCAGTTTCTTCATGATACATTTCAACATCAAAATTGATGAAAATTGCCTATAAAAAACGAAAAAACAATTAAAATTTGGAAAATATATTTAAAAAAAAATAAGGCTTTACTTGTAAGAAACGAACTAATTCCAGCGTTACTTGGAGAGATATAGGAATCAAATTATTGTATAAAATAATAAATGTAAGAAGATTGTATCCAAAATTTTTACTTAAAACATCTACTGTAAAAAGAAGCGATTAATATACAAAAATTTAAGGTTAGTTAATGAGTGAAATGGGTATTTTAATGGAAAATGATTATTATTAGTACTAAGTGTATAGAAAATTAAAATTTTACCGTCTAATCCAAGATACCAGTCTGTTGTTAAATGGTTTCTTGTCCATATTTCGTTAAAAATGGCACTTGTAAGGCAAAGAAAAATAAGTATTATAAATAACATCAAAATCTGTGTATTGGTCAGTCTGTCAACAGTTGAACGCTTTAACGGTGCTGAGGTAGAATTTCTTAAGAGCTTTGTATCATGCCCAGTATAAACAACAATACCAAATACCCATGATGTATTGCGTAACATTGCACCTCGTAATAACAATTGATCTGGTCCAAGGGCAACAGATCTATAAAAATTTTAAGTTTTTGAATTGTATTTTAAAATTTAACTCTTGAATATAAAACTAACGGAGCAGCAGTTTCCTTAAGAACTCCATTGAATTCATATAAATGTCTATTTGGCAATTCACATTCTAATACACCCGTTAAATTATTTAAACCATATGTATCTAATAGACGAGCTGTTGAAGGTACACCTTGTCGTATTTTCAAATTTGTTTCACCATCAAGATTTGCTGTTTCTATAAAAGACATACCCTGTGGTTCACTGAAATTTTAAAAATTTTTGAATATAATTTAACTAGATGAACTAATAATTGAATGAAATAAATTTATATTGTAAGATTTTAACGTACATAGATATATATTTTTTTTAATATTAACATATATATATGTTGCATAAAATGAATATTAATTTTCTAGTTCCCCAATTATCGAAATGTTAAAAATATTATGTTCGCATGACATATTTTTAAAAATATTATGCCACTTTGATGACAGTATAATGAGTTTGTCGTTGAGGAAATAGGTATGTAGTGAAAAATATTATAATAATTATCTTCTCTGTTGAATTTTCAAAGAATAATTAAATCGAAATTTTTAAAAATAATTCTAAGTTATAAATAATTGTAATGAATAATTATGATGTCATTGCATTTAGTTCACCCTTCAGATAGTTTAATTATTTAAATTTTTTATTAATTGAAATCTATCAATTACTAAAAAATTTAAATAATATTTTAAATTCAAATACAATTGAAAATAAATTTTTAAACTTACAAGAAAGACTGTTTTTCTATTTTAGAATTTGTCGCACATCAAAGAGATAAACATGAATAAAGAAAATCGAATGAAATGCAAACAATTTATGAGAAATTTAACTCGAAATAATAGATATTTATTTGAAATGTTGTTTTATTATATATTTAAATTACCTTGAAGACAACAAAACTAAATCGGCTGGGAAGAATGTATTATTATGAATTTTAACAATATCACCTACTGATAGCATATGCCATTGAACAGAACTCCATGAGCCATTCTTTAATGTTTCAACTTTTCTATTATTAATTTCATTGTCAGCTCTATGCCGCTTCTGAAATAATTTTTAATATTTTTAATTTTAATTATAAATTTTGATTGAATATGTTTCTATACACTGTACTACTCACAAAATCTTCAACAATTTCTTTTATTGCGCTCACTGCAAGTATAAAAATTAATGGAACTAATGTTGTATAACGGCCAGTTGGGGATACATCTGGAATTTGCTGAAGTAATGCAATTAATAAGAAGAAACAATTTGAATATCGTCTAAACTGCTCGAAAAGAAACGATGGTAAAAAGCTAATGATACTGTAATATGTAAAAAATATAGAAAAAACAAAGAAAAATTAACTTATCTTGTTTAAAATAGAAAATTTTTAAAATTTACTTCCGCAAATCTAAGTATATATATTGTTATTTATTCAAACAATTTATTGAACGAAATTTTTATTTTGTTTAAGTTGACAACATTAGCAAAGTCAAGTAATAACAAACAAAATGATTTGGGTAAATACAAGGCAACAAACGGATAATCAAATTATCGCTAGGCCAAAAACTGAATGTTGAATATAGATTTTAGTTATAAGTAACGAAATATGTCTGTGCTGTTTATTACTCGTTTATTACCGACCGTATTGTGTATACAATAAGTAGGTTATGTGATGTGATGGCAACAAATTTTGCATATCGAGTTTTCGATGGGAATACACCATCGAAAACTCGATATGCAAAATAGCAGTATTTTTAAATAGTAGTATTTACACTTCCATAGTAGGGAAGTGTAGGTAATCTATTTTTAGCAACCTGTCGGTTTGTCGGTCTGTGTGCGCACACGTGTATCTCAAGTTCGGCTGAACCGATTTTGATGAAATTTTATGTGTAAATTTATTTCGACTGCGGCCCGGATTGATGAACTTTTGGGATATATCAGGCCTCAGAAACTGCACTTTTAAGCGGACCTGTTTTACATTTTTGACCATTTTGAAGAAAATATTCAACCGATTTACTTGAAATTTCATATATAAGCTTTGCTCGACCATCCGCGAAACCTCCAAACTTTGGGAAAAAATCAGGCGTCAGCAATCGATTTCGTTGAAATTTAATATTTAAATTCTTAGTATTAAAACAATGTACATTTTTTGGAAAGATCAGGGCTGGAAAACGGATCTGCGGGCCGATTTTATATTTTCCACCATTTCTACGGAACGAATTAATGCAATTACTTGAAATTTGATATTTGAGTTCTGGTTGTTATCCAAACTAACTGGAGACCATTTCAGGGAATTCGGGTAGCACAAAGCGAAACTCTACTAAGAGCCAAATTTGCATTTTTCTAGGTATGTTAACTATAAGTTTACTAATGCCCTAAAAATTGGAAAGATGTATTTAACAGTCATTTTTATAATATCCCGTAACACTTTCAGTTAACTAGACAATACACATTGCGGTCGGTTATGTGCTGATCACATCAGATTTTGTTTACTTTCAAATTAACGCTTAAATATTTCTAATTGAATGCCAAAGATGATTAAGAGTGTTGACGGTGTAACTATCTAAACTCTATTTAAAAATTAGAGCTACAAATTTATTTATTCCGCACATAATCTTCATAAACTAAAATCTATTTTATCGACTTCATTTAACTTTAATTCGTCCTTTAACATTTGATGAAAATGTTTTTCTATCAACAAAAAATTGTAATTTTAATATTTATGCTTTTCTAAACGAGACAGGATAAAAAAGAAAGATAATAAGATTTAATTTCTTAAGAAAATTTTTAATATCTATGTTATAATATGAATTATAACAGTTTTCTAAAAACGCTTTATTAATTTCTTCGAGTGTATCATAAGTATATCTCAATATAAAAGCTCGCCATTTTTAATAGTAAAATAAAGATATGAACATTAACCATTTTAAATAACCTAATTCGCGTGTTTGAAGAAATCGAACTTGAAAAAAATATCCACATCATTTAGAATTATTTCAATACATGGCATATACATAAGTATTTTCAAATTTAAGAAAAACGTCCTATTATTATAAAATTTTTTTTATTATAAAATAAGTTTTATAAGGAACCCTCTCTGCGTGTGGAACGCATTTTATATACTTACAATATAATATATAAATTTATTGATATTATTGTAGAATTAATCATCAAAGCGTTGTTAAATTCCTAAATCTTGCACACTATTAAAATTGCCATCGTTAAGATGTGGTTTGTTTTTGCTTTTTGCAAACATTAAAACACATAACATGCAACCTTAATTTTTTTAGTTCAATGAACCTTTTTTACTTTATTTTAAGTGTTCAATATAATTGAAAATGCAATTCAAGGATTTTAAAAATATTATTATATTAGATTCCCCAAGGGAAAAACATTTTTGTAATAAATTTTATTTTTTTAAAATTTAAAGAGTATGAGTAAATCATTAGATTGAATTTTGTCCAAGACAGCTGAATGAATAATTTGGCAATTAAAAACGTATGTACCCAAAAGTCACAATATCACACAACCGTTGTCATCGAATTACATTTCTTCATAAGACACATACATAATATATATCACAAAAACAATAGACATTCCGAATGAACCAACAGAAATATTGGAGCTTATCAACAGATATGCGACCCTATCGAAGAATTAGCTTTAGAAAAAATAAGAGGAAAAAGAAGAGCTCTCCGCAATTTCGTTGTTCGACTAAAACAAAAATGTTTTAAAGTTATGTTATAATGAAGTACAAGAGCTTTTTTTATGGAAAACGGCAATTTACCTTTTTAAATTTCAACATTGCGTGCATACTTGTTCTTTTAATGAAATAAATTTTTTAATGGTAAAGCAGTTTACAAAAGAAAATTCTTCTACTATTACTTGTAAACTATCAAAAATTTTTAACATTCCCTAATAGAAAAGCTAGCTAGAACATACTTGAACGCAAACGCAGGTAATTTTTGCTTAATTGAATATTTTCAGTTAATAACACCGCATACAATTAATTGAAGAGTGTGTTAATTAATTTTATACGAAATTTAGTATGATAGTTAATAAATAAAATAGCAAATTGTAAGAAGTCTATGAAAACAGAAATATTAATTTTTTTACATATAAACTCATCTCATTAATACAATTAAATTGAAATACATTTCGGGTGTAAAAATATCAATATTTTTTCAGAAAGTGTTTCATTAAAACGAAATCTATAATTAAAATTTTGTTTTTTTATTCGACAAAATCTATCGATTATATTATGCATTATTTTATATTTTTCTTATTGATTTTGCATACTTCAATTTAAAAAACATATGTGTATTCCAAATTATGTTGAATAATATACTATTCCTATATAAATGAAAATGCATGTGTAAATTTCCATTTTACCCACATGTATAAACTTGCATTATGTGTAAACTTGCATTATACATTTACACATACATACTATTGGTAATTTTTTATACGTATGCATATGAAAAAATTTTTATATTATATGATTGTTACCTATATTTTGCAGTCGATATGTAATTATTACAAAATTTTTGTTGTTGCGGTGAGTTTATATATATGACACGTTTTTCTGAGTCTTCTAACGTCACACCAGATGTCGTTGCGTCATCATCATCTAGAATAAATATAAAAAAAAATTAAATTAAGATAATTTTAAATTTTGGATGTTTTTTAATTTAAAATAAGGATTCAGTTCGCAATAAATGATATGTAAAAAAAAATTAAAAAAAAAGTAATACAAATATACATAAAAAACATTATTGTTGGCGGTTTCCTGCAGTATGGCAAGTGTAAAAATGACACTACGAATTTCGTTTTAAATTTTTGATGACGATTAAGGTATTGAATTGTAAGTTTTTATTGATGGATTTAGCAGCTCGGGCAGTAATAGTTTGCTTTCAAAGTCAACCTTCTTTATTTGATTTATTTCACAAACTGGACAAGAAAAACAAAATTGCTACATATTATACTTAAATTTTAATTTTTCGAATGTCAAAACTTTTCGTCCAAAAATATAAAGAATCGTCTTCAAAATATCAATTTTAGATTTTTTTACTTTTTTAAAATATCCTCTAATGCGGCGATTTCTCCTACTTTTCCTCATATCTTTTTATACCTGTACGAACGTATGTTCGAAGGATATAATAAATTTGTCTTATAGTTTGTAACGTTAAGAAATAATGCTAAGAGATCTGAGGTACCTAAGTGTACGTTTTTGGTCAGCGTAGAATTCTGAGTCGATTTAACCATGCCTGTCAGTCCGTGTTTACTGGGGCTCGTTGAAATTTCTTGACTTCTTGTGGTACTTATTAATAACTTATAAATTGTTGAAGCTACGGTACTGAAATTTTGCAATAACAAATATGGTAAAATACATATACGTTACTTTCGGTAAAAGCTGTTAACTTTAAAAGTAATTTCACTAGATTTCTGAAATTATAAAGCCAATATTTTATTATGGTTCTTATGTTTAATAAAACTAGTTAAAGTTTCTTGACTTGTGGTGATACCTGTTAGACAACTTCAAAACTAATTTGGTCGTATATTATGAACACTATTGAAATAACAGTGCTGCAATTTTACATAAAGGAATAAAAAAAAAGGAATACATGTGGAATATTGTCACTCAGCATACAGCACTTAAAATCATTCATTCGTAAGGGTATCACAGAATTGACACGGCCAACCCGTGCGGTACAGGTATCACTACATATTCTCGTTTCTTGTGTTTTTGTTTGTTTTAACATTTAAAAATTTTTTATAATATAAAGTTATAAAAAAATAAGAAATTATAAATATCGTATTCCTACGAGAGTGCATTTTCTTCACAGCTTGAAGAAATGGATTTTCAAGGTTTCATTTACCTTATAACGGTTTATGCAATATAAATATATAACGTCAATTCAATTATTATTTAATACGTTATTAATTTAATGTATCAGTAAAATATCAGCAACAAAAGAAAAATAACGCCGTCAAGTTGATTGCTGTCTATACTCAATATAATACGCATGCATTGTCAGGTTGTGGAACAAGTTCTTTCAATTTTAAAGATAATTATCAGATGTAGGTAGTATTTTTTGTGATTATCATTATCATCAAGTATTTGGATCCTGATCCGACATTACTATATTATTATAACAGCAGTCTCAGTATTTTGAATGAATACTCTAATGTTGAAAGCTTACTGGGAAAAGTTTTCTGCTTACAGTCATTTGAAGGAGTACACTTCAAGCTGGGAATGATAATTATCAACTGTGTTAGTGAAGAGACGGCGGAATGATTACTGGTCGGGTGGGCAGCAGTCGCGGAGAAATCGGATGGGTCCCACTGAGTTCCAAGAAGGAATATGACGTCGCTGTGCGAGATAGAAGTTGAATAAGGCGGTAGCGATTTTTCAAGTTCGGCACATATAGATTCACATTCGGCTCTGGAAACAAATAAAGCCCTTGCGATAAAACGAAAAACTACCCTCTAAGTTAACTTCCACCATGCCGGTTGAGCATTTCTTGTTGTGGCTGTAAAGTTCGCGAAAAAAAATCTCGGCATAGTTATGTTGGAAGACCCAAAGGGTATATTAGAGGACAAATCAAAGCATTATCAATTAAAGATGATTATGGTTTTCGCTTCTCTTCGCACGCTTTTTTCTCCATTGAGAACTAACGGTGGACGATCGACGACATTCTGGCCCATACTGATTAGATTGTTATTATAGCTAGGCGGAAATTTTAGGAGAGCATGAGGTAGAGTCCAACCGCGGCAATGAAATGATTTTAGGACTAATACCACTTCACCTCGTTCTCGAGATTCGAGCGGTGAAAGCTGCCATTTTGAAGTTCGGAAAGAACAGGATGGGAAAGATTGGGGTGGATCATCAGGATAGTCTTCTCGGTGAGGTTTCGGTCCTTGCACTGCCTAGGGATGATATAGTTATGAAATATAGCTTCCGGGAAAATTTCACCTCGTTGCTGATAAGAGAAGGGACTAAGGAGTTGACTTCGCGGGTTACCCGGTTGGGTTACACGCCATGGCCATCGTGTGGTATCGAATGCGGGGTTATTTGGGCCAAGAACTATATTCTTCAAACCAATGGGGATGTACCCTAGCGTCTTTTGAACTGATGAGGAAACCTCAGTGAATCTTTTGGATTGTGGGGACCTCATCTTCAGGAGAACAAAAATACTGGGAAACTACATACTCACTCCGATGAAGTTGCGGTTTGTCAGGACTTGCAATCTTCTCGAATTCATCAGGAGTATATACGATGGTCGCGGTGCGCTCATATCCCATCTGCATAATATACACTGATTTATGGCATTTACTTTCTTAAATTTTATTTTTTTAAACCTAAATTTTATTCATCTATACATATTTTAAAAGAAAATCGATAAAAACTTTAATATTAAGTTACTATTCTGTTTTCGTTCAAAATATAATATGCAATTTAAATTTTATATTTTAATTTTATATTCCTAGTGGTGGGCCCCGATAATGGCGGAGGATAAAGGGGTGATTGAAACGATCAAAGTTACGTTCGTGTCGTGATCATGTCTCGCGGCGAACCTCTTCCTTTGTGAGTTTCAGCCCTATATCTATACGTCAGCTGACGACAGGCGTCCCAAGTCAAGATGGATGGCATATGCCGATGACTGCGTGGCTTAGGGGGAGCTTAGTCGTTAGTATGCGGACTCTGGATACCAGGCGCCCTCCAGTTTAAACGAGCCTTCCCATGGTATGCCGAGCTCTGCCATGGGTGACTATACTTTCCTGCGCTACTCGTGGGAACAAAATGGAGAATGTAAACAATAACAACAACAACAACAACAATAACAAAAATGACAATTACAACAACAACAATAATACTAAGGACAACATTAATACAAACACAGTTAGTGCTCAAGGGTCTGCGGAACCAGAGCTTCCCTCGACTGACGCAGAGGAGGAACTCTTTCTCACGTCAGTAGAGGAAAAGGCGGCGCCTCCGATGGAGATGGATAATCAGGATCCTCTTGGACTCAACAAACTGAGGAGGATCTGAAAATGTTGGACATCAGGGGAAAAAAACAATATTTCTCTGGTGCATCCCAACGGCGTATCGTAGCTTATATCAGGGATGGCATGTCCCCAGAGGAAGCTCGCAGATATGAGAAGAAAAGGCTAGAAAAGCTGAGTTCCTGCGGATCGGGTGTTGTGGACGACCATCCCCAGAAGAGGGAAAGGTCAGAACGCAACACCCCTGATGCAAGGCCTTCAAAAAAGAGGTCGATGAAGGGCAATGTTGAGGAAAAGGTCCCTGGGAACATTCCTCAACTAAAACCCGAAAATGACTTCTTATCGGGATGCAGTAGCACAGGTCAAGGTGGCCATCACCCATAAACTGCACCCAGAGGAAAGGCTATCCGAAGTCCAGATGGGAAAATTAAAGTAGCCATCATGGATGAAATGGATAAAGTTGTGGATTCTCATCCACAATTCACTGTAGCGTTGCAAAGGGATGGATGGATATCCGTAACAGGATAGGGAAGCAAAATCCCAGCCTCAAGATGAGTTCCTGGAGGGTGCTGAGGATGGATAAGGAAAAGGACGGGGGCTGCTCCATCACCTTTTCCGTGGATGATTCCGGATTGGAAGATCTACGGAAAGCGGAGTTCCGACTTTTCCTGAACTTCTTCCGTGTTACCGTTTGGGTTAAAGGAAGAAAATCCTCTTAAGGTGCTGGCGGCAGGGCAGTACAAAATAAAAAAACCAAAGCCCACCGTGACAACGACGAGCACTTCAGGCCAACCAAAAGAGCCAAAACTCATTGAAGAGTCTGAAGTTGCCCCGAAAACGGCGGAAACGGAAGGACCATCGAACAGCGCACCGGATACAAGCGTCCCGGGTGAACCAAAAGGGCCCAAGTCCATTGGGAAGCCCGGTACTGCTTCGGTATTTGCTGTTGGAGGGGCTAGTGTGGCACCTAGGACGGCAAAAGAGACAGAGCAGGCGCTGGACGGCAAAAGAGGCAGGGCAATGATATGGCTGTGAGGTGCATCCAAATAAATTTACAGCATGCTAGGGCATCTACTGATGTTCTAGCTCATAGATTTATGAAGGATCACCTCGATATCGCCCTTATCCAAGAGCCTTACATAGTGAAGGATCAGGTTAAGGGCCTAACAGGTGAGCTATTGCATGACCTGGTATGGGGGCAGGCCTAGGGCTTGCATTTTGTTTAGTAAAAGGCTAACGTATATTCCAGATTACTGTTCTAAGGATCAGATAGCTGCGTTGGTGAAGGTGAAGTCTTCCGGGGGTTGGACAGAGTTTATTGTGTGCTCATCCTACCTCCTGGGAGACTGTGCCCACCCAGAAGAACAACTGAAAAATCTAGTGGACTTTTGTGGAAGGAGGAATTTCCAACTAATAATAGGAAGTGATGCCAATACCCACCACACCGTCTGGGGAAGCAGTAATATAAACAAAAGAGGTGAGTGCCTACTTGAATTTATATATAGCAATAAATTAATGGTTATGAATGAGGGCAATAGGCCGACATTCATGAATGCAATTAGGGAAGAGGTCCTTGACATCACCCTTTGCACTGAGTTTATCGGCAGTAGGGTTAGTGGATGG